AAGAAAGCTGTTCACAGTCATAATTAGTATGTGAAGTTGGTGAATGTCGGGGTAAAGGGATATGCACTGATGCTTAATACAGACAGGACAAAGTAAGTTTCATGCTAAGTGTTCCCTTAATTCTGATAATTTTACATAAGATGTTTCACCTTTTATTTTTCTAGCCATCCTCCAATCTGCTTTGTAGTTCTTAATTAGGTAGGCTTTGTATTAAATGGTGGGATTTAAGATAGGGATGAACAGCATTTTCTGATCTGCTCTCAGCCTTTGAGAGAGCTGCTATGGGTTGAATTCCAAAAGCTGATTACATTTTCTTTACATTTAAATACAATACAGATTATTAAAAAAAAGAAAAAAAAAACAGTTCCAGCTAAAGGAATCATAGAAATATAGAATTGTAGAGATGGAAGGGATCACATGATCCAACCCTCTGTAATGTACAGGGAAATTAGTTAAACCATCCATGCCTCTTCTCAAAACCTCCAAAGATGGAGAACCAACACCCTCCATAAGTAGTCTACTTTATCATTGTACACTTCATACCCTGAGGAATTAGATGTATGAGATATGAGGATTTTGTTTCATTATATTTAAACAAAATCTGGGATTTAAATGAAATTTAGATAACTGCAACTTATAATTATAAACTTAATAACTGAATGAAAACTATTAGGAAAAAAATGCAAGAGAAATTTCTGTTTGCCCCTTCTTTGAATTGTCTATTCTGTTGTTTTAGTAACTGAATCAGTCCCATTGTCCCAGAACTTATATTGCTTGCTATATGAGGTGCTATAGCAATTATTACCATTGCCCATTCCTGGACTTTTTCATCATAAGTCTCTATAAATATAAAGCTATTGAGCTATCAGTTCAATCTAATTTAGTAACATACAAGCAATCTGAAATTTTGTATACAGGTTTCTGTCATGCAAGTATGACAGTGGAAATGCATTATATGAGCATGTGTGAATGTTCTTTAACTCACTGTTGTCAGCTTAGCAAAATATCTGGCTTCAGGAAAGTATTCTCTGGTCTTTTGTCCTTATTTTGAATAGGTAATTTACTCCTATTAGTTTGGATGACAATATCACTTATGTGCAGGTTAAGGATTTCCTTAGCTTTAGTAAATTTCAGTGGTGCCACCAACTTCAAGACAAATTTGTAGTAATGTAGTTCAATCAATTAACAAATAATACTAGAGTAGCAGGTGGTAAATTAGAAAGAAGTATGTGTACAGTGAAAGACAGTGTTCTTGATTGGAGTTTGTAACAGAGTGTATAGTAGTTCTGCTGAATGAGAATAATTAGATAAGGCTTGTTTCTGTTCAGAAAGTAGTCTCGTAGTTCCATAGTCAGTGAGGTCAAAAAGATATTGTCCCCAAGTCAAAAGCCAAGGATTTGTCTTCATGGATGAGAGTCAAAAGAAATCATGAATATGGAGTACCTGGTAATGGCAAGTGGTTTGCAACTAGGGGAGGGAGCCTGTATGCATTTGCTGATTTCTTAGGTATAACTTTACCTGCTCATTAACAGTGTGTAACATTTCTCTTGCTCCAAAGAAATAGATTTGGTAATCAAAAGAGAGAAATTATTCAGCAAAACTTCATGTGGTCTTTACAGGAGACAGTTCAATAATAACTTCAGTGTCAGTTGTTTGGGAACAGATTCTCCAGGGGAAACTTAATGTGATCTTGACACACTTTTATATATGACAGCGGCTGATGATTTATCCTGGTTGCTGACATGAGCAAGTAAAGGATAGAACAGCAAATTGTCTGAAGACTGCATGAGGACAGTAGGTGACTCCAAGGTTTATTTTAAGACTTCACCTGATGAACATCAATGGCATCAAGAAACTTCATTAATCATAACCAGAATAGGATATTGAATACTTAGAATTCATTTAGGGGAGACAGAAGTTTATAAAATGAAGATAAAACTACATACCCTACCCCTACCCCTACCCCTACCCCTACCTCTAACTTTAACCATAACCCTTGCATGTGGGGAAGAAAAATAACAAATTGTAGGGGGAGGAGCCAAAATGGTGACCAACTAGCGGCTCCTGAAATAACCTCCTGACTTGTGACTGGCCTCACCCCTTCTGGCTCACTCCCATTAATCCATTAAAGCAGAGAAACAGATAACAGTTGACTCCTATCTCCCCACTGCAGAGACAACACAAAACATGAGTAACAGATCTACAGGTTCGGGATCCCCTTCACCCCCAAAGAATATGACAACACAGAAGCCAGTAACAAGACAGGCCTCCTCCCCACCCTCCAAACCTTCAGCCCAAGTTACTTCCTGGAGCAGGGAGGTAGTGGAGATAACCTCTTGGAAAAAGTCTCCTGCACCCCCCACAACTACATTACTTAGCCATTCCATGAGGTCTGCCTTTTGTCTGCAGAAACTCTGATCTTTATACCGCAACAGCTAAATGACATTCCAAGTTGGACAACTTCCGACAACCCCTTGATCTAAAAATCCTCCATGGCAATCCAGGGGTTAAAATGGGAGCAGAAGCTGGCCATTGTGGTGTTCTGACAACCAACATGGTCAGCTTATAGGAATAGGAATAGGAAGCCCATGGGGACTACTTTGCTGAAAATCCACAGAGGAGCTCATCTGCCATCCTTAAATTCCTTAAGACAAGAGGTGGCCACTCTATAACTGCAGCACTCAAATTATTTGAAGGCAAGCCAATAGCAGAACTTCTTTATGGTGCCCAGCTGGGCCCCTTCTCCTATTTTGCACCATTAGAACATGTATAATCCAAATTTCTAAGATGTGTCTCTAATGTCATCTTGAGACTAGAGACAGGCCTCATGAAAGTGGAGGCTCGAGTGTGGGTGACCATACTCAACTATTGGCTCAGACTCTCCTTTTTTCACCTTGGCCTTGGCCCATTAACTATGAGTGATGATTTTCAATCCACATGGAATCAGCCATTGGCAAGTTAAATCTGATCCTTGGGCTTCTCTCCGGGTCTTCTACTCAGCAGGCCAAAGTACTCATTAAACAGCACATAGCAGATATAGAGTGACAATTGCATCTAGCCAGGACCCAACCTTAATTAACAGTGAATCCAGCAGGTACTCTGCCTCCCTTATGACATACTTACCTAAACCTGAAGTACCTAAACACTGGAGGGCTTTTATTCTGGCATGATGTCAAGCCTTCCCCTCAGCTGATACAGGAAGATTCCTTATCCGGAGACACAATGCCCCTGTGACTTTGGACACAAAGAAACAACAGAGCATGTGCTTCTCCAGTGCTTGTACTACAGAGACATTCATACTAGTCTCATCTCACCATAAATACCCAGGGTGCACATGACAATTCTACAACTCTCCCTGCTGCTTTCAGATACCAACCCTGCTACAACATACAGTGTTGCCAGATTCTGCACAGCAGCACCTAAAACTTGTCGGATGATGACCTGTGCCATAAATTAGACTTAATGAGCATCTACTTTGCCATACTAGAGTAGTACTAGCATGTTTTCCAGGTAATAACCTTTACACCCTTCCTTATACCCATCTAATGCTCCTACCCCTCCTTTTAGATTCTTTCAGTCTTTTGTTTTTTACCTTCTGTTTTAATACTGTGATGTATCTTCTATGCTTTTTCATTGACTGTACCCACCGTCCTTATGCTGTTCTATTACCTTTTTGAATTGATTTGATTTAATAAATTGTACCATAAAAATATAGTTTTGATATGTACAAGCCTTTCCACCAAAGTGAAGGAGTATCTAACATAGAGATACACTGCATTTACAGGAGGAAATTAGAAGTTATGCTTCTTAAAAAAAAAGGGGGGGGGTAAAAATTGTGCGATGTGACAATACATTAGTTTTATCCATATAGAATACATCTATATGGATTGTGATGATTTATGAGCTTTCCCCAAATGTGGGAATATCAGCATGAATATGTACACACATCTCCAGAAGGAGATGAGGAGTTATGCTTCTGTTTTTAGAAATAGGGTGAAATAGAATTATTTATTATTTTTGTTGTTGTAGTTGTCATTAATAATGAAATAAGGAGTTTGCTCTGCTCTATGTTCTCTGACTTTTGATTCTTAGTTCCTAATGGACAATGGCATGAATAATGTATTTTCAGGCTTCTATTCCTGCTGACTACATTATAAAAAATAGAAATAATAAAACAGCCCTTTTTTTTTTTTATCTTGATACTTTTGACCAAATACAAGGATTTGTGGATTAGTGGCATACAAGGATAATGATAATGATAATAATACCCATTAAGAAAAAAAAAAACCTAATTTTTCCGTAGAAGTTCTCATTCAATTTGTTGAAACAGAAATTGCTTTCTAAATTTCTTTCCAAGGAGAAGATAATTTTGTTGAAATTGCCATGAAGGGAGTTGCAACAATCTTTATGAGTTAGTCAAGGTTTGTGTGTGATTTTTCTCTCTTTTATTTTCTATAAAAGAGTATAAGAGTATACTATAAAAGAGTATAGTCAACATTTTCTAATGTTGTTTAGCCCTTGAGACTTCTCAATAAAAGTACTTATTGAAATTCACAAGAAATTATCAAACATTCTGAGAAGAAAAAATTTAAAAAGGAAATTTCTTTTGCAGGCAAAATAAACTTCTCAGAAATTTCAAGAAAGCATGGGTAATGATAATTCAGTAAAATTTATATTTTACTTTGGAATAAGTAAAAAAAAAATTAGTTCCTCTTCCTGATTCTCTCACTTGGATATAAATAGTCAAAAATGTAATTAATGTATATAAATAATCAATTTTTTTTCTTATGCAGAACAGTTTAGTCTTTCTTCTAATTATTCAATGACTTTTTTCTCTTATTGACACACTTTAATATCTCTATTTCTAAATTGTTATATGTTTACCAAGAAATATTTCTTAGTTAGATGACTTTTTGTGAACGAATTATTCACTATATTCTTCATGCTCATAATTTTTTTCTAAACTTACAGAAATCTTTATGGATCTTAATTACATCCATATGGGAAATCAAACTGCAATCACAGAATTTGCACTATTGGGACTTTCAAATGATCGACAGATACAGAAGTTTCTATTTTTTATTTTTCTGATTATCTACACTACAACATTACTAGGAAACTCTTTAATCATAATGGTAATCAGGACTCAGCCTGGTTTTCACAACCCCATGTTCTTCTTCCTTAGTCACCTGGCTTTTACTGACATTTGCTACTCCTCAGTCACTGTTCCAAAGATGCTGGAGAATTTCACAGCCAGGCAAAAAACCATTTCCAGGTTGGGATGCATTACACAAATATTTTTCTTTACCGTTTTTTGCTGTGTTGATATTTTCTTGCTTCTAGCAATGGCATATGATCGATATGTTGCCATATGCGATCCACTACATTATTCAACAGTTATGAAAAAGCAAATGTGCAAATTGTTGGTGAGAGGAGCCTGGCTGATGGCTCTCTTGGATGCTTCACTCAATACCTTTCCTTTGACTGATTTGACCTTCTGTAGAAAGAGTTCAATTAACCACTATACCTGTGAACAACCTGAACTTTTGAGTTTGTCTTGCAGTGACTCCTTCCCCAGTTATACAGTAAGACTTGTTTCTACTTTCTGCTTTGGTTTCATTCCCTTCCTTTCCATGATTATATCTTATATTTATATTATTTCATCTATCTTGAAGATTCGTTCCGCAAAAGGCAGGAGCAAAGCTTTCTCCACCTGCAGTTCCCATCTCATTGTGTCTTCCATGTTTTTTCTTTCAGCTTTTTTCCGATATTTGAAGCCAAGTTCATCTCTTACAGAACTGGACACAGTGATCTCTATCCAGTACAATATTTTGACTCCAATGTTAAATCCAATCATATATAGCCTAAAAAACCAAGAAATAAAATCAATCATATGGAAAAGTTTTGGAAAATGCAGATAAAATGACACAGTTATATGTAGAAAATTGAATGATACAGCATTTACTTTCAATCAGGTCTTTCTGAGGATATGTTCAATATGTAAATGTGTTATATTTTGTAATAGAAAAAAATATTGAGTACTTGAATACTATGAAAGGAACACACATTATAAGAAGTTTTAGAGGTATAGTTATTGAACAAGTGTGATGTCCATGAGTTCTCTTTTTTGGATGGTTAGAAATCTTCTGAATGTTCTATCAGGATTTCATATGTGTCCATCATTATAACATAAAATATATAGATAGAATGCAAAGTGCAGAAAATTCATACCATGTATATAAAGAGGCTCCCACTCCCTCCCAATTTACCTTTGCCATGAAAACAAAACAAAACACTGGACTATTACTACTGATTACTATAGTAGTGATATTCTATATACTATGACTATTTCTACTCATAACTGGATTCAATTAATCCAAAGTTAATTTATTGGAAATAACAGTGATGATGAAGGCTGATACTTTGCTTTGCACCTTCATATTATTTTAATCTATCTATCTATCTATCTATCTATCTATCTATCTATCTATCTATCTATCTATCTATCCATCCCTCCATCCAACTATCCATCCTAGAGGAAGGGAAATGTGAGTAATGAATTTTGTGTTTCATGTGTCAAACACTTAAATCTACAAATCATTGTAATTGTTTCAGTGGTAAAGAACATATATTAATCTGAATATGTTGAATATACCCTTCACCCCCAGACTGAACTCTGTAGCAGTATTCCAGTATGATGAGGAACCATCAATGAGTAACCAAATCAAAACAGTTTATTACAGGCATAAGGCCAGACACAATAAAATATCTAATAGTAGAACTGTTACTTAATCTCTCTATTTATCCTCTATTTATCTCTCTATTTATTAATATTCTTTTAATCTTCTCTGTTAATCCCTGCAGTCCCCGTTGCTGTTGTTAAGCAAGGATCACAGGTCACTAAATGAGGACCTCCTCACAATTTCCTGCCAACTTCTAACAACCAAAGTCAGCAGGGAAGCCAGCAGGAACTTACAAGTCCCAAGTGACTTGTAAGCAGGCTGGCAGGCAGATAAGTGGCTGCTGCTGGGTGCGGAAAGGTGTGTGGGTGTGTGTGCAATGTGTGGCATGAGTCCAGTGGGGCTGGGGAAAAGTGTGCAAGGGTGTGCAAGTGGTTATCAAGGTGAGGCACAACTGTAGCAGGGCTAGGGAGGCTGTACAAGGGTGCACGGGTGGCCAGCGAGGTGCAGTGTGAGTGCAGTGAGTCTGGGGGAGGGTATTTGAGGGAGTACAGGTGACCGACGTGACTTGGCAGGGCTGGGGTGGCTGGTGCCAGGTGGGGGAAGGTGCATGAGGGTCCAAGCAGCCCCAGAGTTGCAGTGTGGCAAAAAACCTCAGAGCTACAGCACAACAAGAAGCCCAACGTTGTGGCACTTCCCCGCACATGGCCAGGATGGTGAACCCAATGAAGAGGAGTCAGGCAAAGACGATGAAGGTAATGGGGGGGGGGGAGTAGCAGCAGGCAGTCATAAATGTGGGCTAGCTCAAATTTTTATCATGTGACCATGGGGGCACTGCAATGGCCATATGTTTAAGGACTGGTTGCAAGTCTATTTTTTCAGACCATTGTAACTTCAAATGGTCACTGAACAAATGAAGATTAAGTGAGGATGACCTGTAAGTAGAAATCATGCTCCCTGCATAGAAAATTCTTCAAGATCACATAAATAAAGGTCTGTCCTGGGTCCTTATATAGGGAGCAGCATAGTAGCATTGATGAATATGGTTCTCAAGCCAACTGTGGATCTAATACATGTGCCATCCAGACCATTTTTAACTAACTTCTCTTTAATTAATTTACTGATTATAAGAGATGCCAGTATCAGAAGGTTACCTAGAAATCTTCTGTTGTGCTGTATTGCATTTGTATTATGGAGTACCCCAAGTTTCTATCTTATCCCCCATATTATTTAATGTCTATAAGGGGGGGGAGGCAAGGGGGATATCAATAGACAGTCTGAGATTTGGGTGCAATCTCTCCATTATTCAGATGATACACAGTTATAGTTTTGTTTTGCATCAACTTTTATTTCATTTCCATATGTTAATGTCATGGAATCAGTGGAACTCCTGAGTATGCTTGGATGAAGATGCGGAAACTTAATCTGCTCCAACTCAAAAGACTGTGAATGGAACCCACTGAACTGGATTGAGGGATTCAACTGGTATTGAATAGGGTTGTTATTCCTTCGAAGGATCAAATCCATACTTGGCAACCTTCTAGATTTACTGCTGATTATAGAAGCATAAGTGGCAGCTGTCATTAGAAGTGTGTTTGCTCAGCTTCAGTCAAGATAACTTCTGCCACCCTATGTAAAGAGGTGGATCTAAATTTAGATATGCATACCATTCTTACATCAAGTCGGCAACAACATAATGGAGTCTATGAGAAGCAGCCTTTAAACACAGTTCAAATGCTATGGATGGTTCAGAAGAGCAGACATTTTTTTTTCTTTATTGCAGTTAAATATAACAATGACAATCTCATATATCATTGTTGGCTGTTGTCCATTACTTCTTAGTATTTATCCATTTTTCTTCTCCACTTTGGCTTTTCTCTGTTGTTGTATATTTTTGATTATTCATTTTTCTAACAAGTTATTCATATTAGTATTGAACTTTATTTGTATGTATTTTGAATGTTCCTGTGTTGTGTTTTTTGTTTGAATTAACATTCCTATAATAGTTCTATTGCAGATAACGCTGGTATTATGGCTACAACTACTGCTTCCATAACAAATATAATTAGAATTATTACTAGAGGCTATTAAATGACAATCCCCCAAATTTCCAATCAGATATTTCCATACTGGCTGGAAAACTTGGGAGTTATAGTCCCAACAGTTGTGAAAAGTTTTAGGTTGGAAAGGATACAGAAGAAGTTAGGAAAGAGAGAACTTAGTAAGCACAATGAATGCCAGAGTAATTTCTTGTTATGTATTTTCTTCATAGTAATCCATTTTTGAGGCACACTTTTAAAAACTGGGGTAAATAGTAAGGATGTTTCCTAAAATGTAGGAATTTTATTTTATTTTATTAGTATTTTAAAGATTTACAAGTACTACAATTAAGCCAACTGAATATTTCTTTACAATGCAATTTCTTTGAAACTGATATACCATGAAGCATCAAGGAAAGAATTTGAATATTACTGGAGAAAACCAGAAAAATATAACAATAACTGTCCAAAATTTGTCCTCAGTATTTTTCTGTTGTTATGCTATTATTTTATCTCATCTGTTTGATTTTACTTTGGTGTTGTATTTTTTTTTTTTCAAATGTTGCTGGCCATTGACCAAATAAACAGTATTTTGATTTTCTGTTGCAGCATTTTCCCTATGTTCTAAAACATGATTTTAGAAGCTTACCTATTTTGTGTTTCCTTCAATTCTTCCCATCATTATTTCTCAGAGAATAGACTATGGGATTCAAAACTGGTGTAACCAGTGTGTATAGGGGAGCAACTATACCAGAGAAATTATACTTATTTAGAGACTATAAATAGAACCACCTTGCCACAGATTATTCTTTTTCATTAGCTTGTTTGCTTTAGGACCATAACAATTCCAAGAAAATCATGCATTCATGTCAGCTATAATTCTTCACTGGAAAGGAAGTCTGAAGCTGGCCTTTCTAAATTACACAGGATTGATTCACATAAGTGTGCTCATTTCTTGATGCTAACAATCTGTGCATATGAATGGACCAACGCCAACCAAATACTATAGAGGGAAACCTCCTATTTTATCCTACTTGCAAAAGTACTTTGAAAAGTCAGTTCACTCACTGAGCTGCAAGTCATAAATTGTTGGAAAAACAAAAGATATATACTGTACATTCACATTTACAATTAGTACCATGCTCAAAAACGAAACAAGAAAGAAAGAAAGAAAGAAAGAAAGAAAGAAAGAAAGAAAGAAAG